GTTCTAAGAAAATGTTTCAACATTAGAGTCTACAAATTTTCAAATTTTTCATTGTTATATTTTTATTATTAAAACGATGTTAAGCCAGGAGTGTTAATATGCATTGGTTGCTTTCACTGTATTTAAGGAATGTTTTTTTTTTCTGAATTTGAATATAAGTTTTACTACTTAGTATCTGTATAACTGTGTGCAAGATACTTAATTCTGACTTAGTTTTCTCATTTGTAAAATGGGAACAGTGCACATAAAACCTCACAGAGAGTTGAGGAAATGAAGCAAAATTTTATGTATAACATCTAGTGTGAAGCACATAATAAATGTCGGGAAAAAAAAACTATGATTTTGTAAAACTGTGTGTGTGTGTGTGCATATATACATATATATACACACACAAAGTTATTGCTGTACTTTATGCCACTGAACTTCTTACACACACATATATTCATACACATATACATATGCATTTATACACACATGTACATATATTCCCAATCCATATTGATAGTGTGTACATTTAAATTGTACACTAAAACTTAGAAAAATACAAATCTATTGACTTCTTAATGGACTTATATTACACATTTGAAAACAGTTTTAGATACACCTACTCTTCACATGTGTTAATATTACCAATATGTAGATATTCAGTAGCATTATTGATGGTAGAGTCTAAGGAATGTAACCAAGTATTAAAGGATTTTTTCTGTTTACTTAAGTATTTCCCAAACTTTAGGTGTTTGCAAACTGTCATTATGATTTGGGCTACTTCTACATACTATATCAACAATTATTTGTTGATATTTTACAATCAAAACCTTGCTTAACTTGATATGTTTAAAAAGAAATTTTTATCATTACAATAAATGGAAAGCTGCCTCACTTACCTTAAATATAAGATACTAAAATTAAATGAAAGAACAAAATATATACCTTTGTCATGCTCTATTAAACGCTTTGAGCCTGAGATACACTCTATCTTGGTTACAATGGCAGGTGTTGAAGTTGTGTTAAAGACCCATTAGCAACATACTAATTCATTCTCCTTGCTGTATCCAGAGGGAATGAAAGAAAGTTGAGATGAGAATAACTTTCTCACTATAAGATTCAAGGTTAATTATTGCCTTTTCAGCATACTGTCTAAAACCATCTCTTATTTCGATAAAAATCACTCTGATTTACATCCTAGTTTTACATCCCCCATTCAGGCAAATTCTGTACGACTGTAGTCAATATCTACTTCTATTTCAAAGATCCTACCACTCTTTTAGGATGTGTAAGTGTCAAATATTAAAAGAAGTAGAAAGGAAAGTTAATAGTGAAAGTTGTGGGGTTAACTGTAAGTCAAATGGATTGAGTAAAGCCATTGAATAATGTCTTTATAATTGACATGAGAGTGCTGTACAGTTCAGCCCTTAATGCGATTGTCTTGAAAGTTCAAAGACAAGAGACTACTTTTCCCTTTTTGGTACACATATCAAACAGTTTTGTAATAATTCATGTGATGATGGACTGAGATTGTTTTATGATTGATAAACTCAGGGGATATAATGTATCATTTTTGAAGTAGGTGTTATGGTGATTGGTTTAATAATGATAGGAGGTGTCAAAGATTAAAAATATCAAGGGAAATGTCTATATAATATGCAAATGACTGTTAAGTGCAAGCATTTTTAACTAGATGGAGACAGAAAGCACATGCGCCAAAAAGACTTGAACATCATTCTGTCTGGAACCCTCTGCTTCATCCAGACACCTGTAATACTTTAAAGTTCATTGCTGGAGTGAGTTTATCAATCTCTCGGAGAACATTCTCTCTCATAATTCAAAGATATAAATACAACATCACAAAGTTGACAATCTTGTAAAAAAAGTAGTAAGTAGGCAGTGCATTTTTTAGTAATCTCCTTTTTTTAATCAATGCTTCTAATGGAAGAAAAATAAATTCCTAATTAAAAATAGCAATAACAACAAAAAGAGACTGCCTACATGGAGTAATTCTATTTTGCCCCTTTCTCTGTAGTTGAGGGTTGGAGTGGCTATTTATATGTCTATGTCAGAGGGATAGGATAGTTGAATACATCTAAGAAGACATATTATCTCATGCATGGGATATCCGCATCCATGGCAAACTATCCTGTATTCATGAATCTCTGGAGTCCCAAAGGCTTAATAGATGACATGTCAACTGTCAAATCACTTTCCTAACCCTCATCCCCCACTTTGTTAGGGGGAAAGAAGCCCATGTCATATAGTAGGATTTTCAAATATTTTTTGGGAAAAAAGTTCCATGCCAACTAAATAATTTGAATTTGAGAGGGATAAAATATTACAACTTTTAACTCATTTTCTTTATGTACAATTTCCTGAGGAAATCTCAGATAAGTCTGTTGGCCCTAAAGACTCATTGCACTGAGCTGGCTCAATTTGCTCTACATATTTAGAAGCCATCTCATGAGCTCTGAAGGGTACACTTTGATTTATTAAACAAAAGTATCCTTCATGGGGTGAGTTGGTTGAAGGTAAAAATAAGAAAAAAATTATTTAAAAAGTATCCTTGGAGCAAAACTTCCCCGTCTTCTCAATCATCAACACAAATAAAAACTAATAGGTTACCTTCCAAAAATCATTTTTTGTCATCAGTTGGAAACTCTCTAAGAACTAATAGATAATACTATGTTCCTCCACTGTTTGTATAAGGAAAGATGTCTTATCCTCCGTTGTTCTGATTTATGTAATAGCCACACTCTTCAGGTAGATGACATAGCCAATGTACTTTACTTAAATCAGTGGGATATCAAATTATTCTCTTCCATATGAAACAATCTGTCTTTAACTATCAACAAGCCCTGTCCAAGTTTATTGGATAGGGAAACCACATACTATATTAACTTGTTCTATCTCCCAGGGAGGAAGATCATTTTAAATCCTTAGATTTTGAGTTATCTTAATTTACCAACTGAGACTGTGAAAATTCCTAAGACTTCACTATTTATAAAACATTTTATAACAATAACTATATAAAACTTCTTTTTACAATTAGGAGAAGCCCAAGACGGCCTCCTCCCAGACTGCAAAGGGGAAGAAGCTTTCCTACTAGTCTCTGCAATGGTTAATGGAACTAGCATTGGTTTACTAAAACGCTAACTTCACAGGCAGAATGGGACAGGAGCAGAAAACTATTAATTATTTATCAGGTTGATTCAGAATAAGATATCAAAGATAAATTTGGCTCAACTGGGGAAAACTGTGATATAAACAGGCCTATACCTCCAGCTTACTTTGTGACCTTGGACCATTTGCTATACCTGGTGATCCTTCATATTCTCCTCTAAAATATAAGTCTTAGAAATGTATTATTTCTAAGGCACACCAAGTGATGAAATTCTGTGTTTTATTCAATGGGGGAATAAAACTCAGGATAATTATATTGGAATTGGGGTAAAATGGATGGTAGCTAATACAGGTATATACTTTAATTTACATTATTCTAACACTCTAAATTGCTGTGAGGAAAGAAATAGATGTTAATTACAGAACTAGGGAAAGAAGACAAATTTCAATATTTGTAGATGGTATGATAATCCTCTTGGAGGATGTCACTGAACCAACTGGAAACCAATTATATTAAGAAAATGAAATTCAGAGTGTTTAGGGTTTATAACACACAGAAAGATAAAGCAATAGCTTTCCTGAGCATCCACAAGGATTGGTTTGGAAACAATAAAAAGACTTTTCTGCAAAAGTAAAACATATATTAAAAATAACAAAGAATATGTAGAGCATGTATAAAGGAAATATAAAATGTGTTTAGGGACCTTAAAATGATTTTAATAAATTGACGGTTACACTATATTTCTTGCTAGATTTGGGGGTAATTAATTGCAATTAAAAGTGTACTCTTCACTATTGATACATGGATTTAATATAATTCCACTGAAAATCACAGAAGGGTTAATGGGATTTGGAAGACACTTGAATACATTGTTACATTTCATATAAATAAAAAGAAAATAGAATACTCAATTTTTAATTGAAATAATGTGATACTAAGACAGGGAAGCTTGCCATGCCAGATATCAAAATATACCACATTAATAGCTAATATTACTCATTATTGTCTATATGGCTGGTCCTCTTCTAGGCACACTACATACGTTAACTCATTTTCACAATTAAGAGAAGCCCAAGGCCTCCTCCCAGACTGCAAAGGGGAAGAAGCTTTCCTACTACTGTCTCTGCAATGGTTAATGGAACTAGCATTGGTTTACTAAAACACTAACTTCACAGGCAGAATGGGACAGGAGCAGAAAACTATTAATTATTTATCAGGTTGATTCAGAATAAGATACCAAAGAGAAATTTGCCTCAACTGGGAAAAACTGTGATATAAACAGGCCTATACCTCCAGCTTACTTTGCGGCCTTGGACCATTTGCTGTACCTTGTGATCCTTCATCTTCTCCTCTAAAATATAAGTCTTAGAAATGTATTATTTCTAACACATGAACTAAGTTTTTAAATTTTGTCAAAAATAGGCAAGATTCTGGTCTTCTGCTTTCTGCCTATTGGAATTTTAAGAATAGATTTTAGAAAATTTGGTGATGTTTTTGTCATGTGTGTATGTGCACACACACACACGTTTGCTGCAAAGAGGCAGATTCCTCATTTTAAATTACTGATAGACTTCAAAATAAAATTTGTACCTCTGCTTTGAAAATGGTATGCAGAGGGGTCATTGCATATGTACAAAAGTGGTAGATTTTATTTAATGAGATTTTACTATGGCAAGTGATTCACTAAGAAATTTACATGTGTTGTCTCATCCATATTTCTTACAAAATCTCTTGATATAAGCAGCATTGTTAGCCTTGTATTATGTTTTAGGGAAATGGCACACAGATAAGTAATACTCAATTTACACTAGTTTTGATATAGAATTAAAAACAAGGTTTCAGAAACAGAATTTTAACATTTTTTTCATTTTTAAAACCCATACTCCAGTCTTTGGAAACAGATAATTTAAAAATGCGAGACAACTTTATTAATGACCGGACGAGGGGAGAGGACAAAGACGACTAAGATGGCGCATTTCCGGGTTCTTCATCACCAACTTACTCGCGCATGGGAAAATACAGACCAACTGCACAGGCGCAACATGGCGTCCGATCGAGTAAACCGAAACTTACCTGGCCGCACCTACCGAACGCCCCCAACACGCCCGTGTCCCGCCTATTGCCCTCCCACTCCCAAGCCTTAGACAGAAAAGCTGCTCCCGGCAGGTGCGCGGCGCGAACTTCCTCGGCCCCTCCTCATATGCGGACCTAGGAACCTCGCCCGAGAACGCCAGAGCGACTTCCTCAGCCTCCACCGCCGGAGACCGGTGAGCCTCGCCCTTTCTTCCTTCACATTGGCTAGCTAATAAAGTTTCTTTTTACCTTGCCTACTTGCCTTTTCTCTGGCGCCTGCTCTGGTGGTCACATAAAACAAATCAATTAGTGCCCACAGATGTATGAAGGTGGTACAGAATGTGCTTTGAAATATGCTGGTGGTATAATGGAAGCATGCTTGACTGTGGATGAGGTCTTCAGCATTGTCTTCTGTGGAGGGGAGAGGTTCTTGCTGGAAGTCCACTTTTCAGCATAGGTGATCAATACATGTGGAATTCCCTTCATATTCTGGTTCTGCAATATCTACTTCTTTCTTTGAAGAGTTGTATTGTCTCACATGAGACTAAAGAAGCAAAACAGGGCAAGAGTAGAGAAACCAGCTCTTATCAGTGTGTGGGTTAGAAAGTGGTCAATCCTCTAGGGAAAGTACTCTAGAAGAAATCGTGCTTAGGTATAAGTAAATATTGATACACACGAGGTGAGTGTCTGCCTCCTGAAAACAAAATCATGGATCAAGGCAGATACTACACATAGAATAGCCAAAAATCAACCAACCAACCAAATAAACAAACAAGAAATGGATAGAGAGAGAAAAAACTTACTCAGAACAAAGCAGAATTTTAACAATGGTGACATTTGAGAAAAAAGGAAATACATAAAAAACGCAAAGAAAGAAATAAAAGAGGATTTTCAATGTTAATGGAGTATATTGGTGTGTTGAATTGTTCTGTGTAGAATAATAATTTAGTTTCCAATATCAAAGTGTTTCTTCTTTTATTGAATAAATGTTTCTTGAATGACTATTTTATGTAAAAAATTGCCATAGGTGGTTAGGTCCTTCAATAAAATGTAAAGACAAACAGCTTTGTCTTCTTGTAACTTAAATTTGACTAGCTATGTGAATTGAAGACATAACAGCTATAAATCTAATTAAAAATGAATAAATTATGTGCTATCTTAGAAGTAACTAATGCTGTGGGGAAAAGAGTTGGGAGGGAAGAATATAGAAACGTAAGATACATCGTCTGGTGAGGGGTGAAACAAGAAAAAGTAGAGAAATTAATTGCGGGGGAAGAGAAATTACAGAGAAAATACCATTAAGTAGATAAATTACTTGATAGTTGTTGCCGCATGTTTTCTGCTGATTTCTAAGCACAGGATTATCTAATATTTTAGCCTAACTTCTATTTCTGTGTTGTTGGTTTTTAATGATGTGAATTTTATATCTTCTCCTACAAAAAACTTTGTGGCATTATAAACATTTGTGCAATGAAAAAATTATGTTTCCATCTATTGTTGAAGTTTATGTTTTTGTTGTTGATGTTGTTTCTCTTATTGTTTTACTGTGGAAATCAGGAAAAGGGCATGGGTTCTACCTTTGGATTAATAAAAAGATGGGGAGGCTGAAGACACAAAAGGAGAGGTCGAAGACAAAAAAAAAAAATAAGAATTCAGTAGAGTTAGGAAATAGGAGTTTTTTGTAATCAGAAGATAAGACTGCTAGAATGCATAGACAACCTCAGAAGAACCTTGGCAATAGTGAGATAAGATGTAGCAGCACTTTTATTTGACATATTTAGGAAAGTATAACCTCAATCAGTGTCTGTATTATAGTTGGGAGGGAGGAGACAGAAGGAGTGACTAAGGTATCATGAGAAAAAATGACATCCATATGATAACATATCTACTTACTGGTTGAGTTAAACATAAATCTAAGGTCCCCCGCATCCAAGACTGATTTGCTTTTTTACTTCTCTGTTGAATTCTTATTAGCTTCTTCCTAGTCATTGTTCATGTATGATGCTCACCTGGTCTTTGTCTTCAAGATATGCATAGTCATATAGCATGATAAAATATTCATTGGCAAAATTATTTTGAGCAGGCAGAAAATAATAATAAACACCAGACCAGAAAGCAAAAAGAACAAATGGGTATCTTGACCAAATATGTTTACCATCTCGCAATCTGAGTGTAATCTTTACTGAGAAACTTATATTAAATCCAATAAAAAGTATGTCAGAAGCTTTACGACCGAATGTAACACAAATCATGAATGAGTGCTGCAGCAAGTATGAATGAATTATGTCTGCTGTCCGAGCAATACAGGAGAAGGCAATAAGACATTTTTAGACTCGTGTAAGTTTCAAACTATGACTCTAAAAAGTTCTTGCTAAACTACATGCATTCTCCCAGTGGCTGCATATGTTTGCCTGACAAAACCCACGGTTGGACAATGAGTCCCAAAGTGTTAGCATTAAATTCCCACTCACATAGTAAGTTCTTCAACTCAAGCGGCTGAGCTGACAGCATTGCAGAATGCTTTTCCATAAACAAATTCCACTCTATAGCCTGTTTTTCTCTTAGTTTCTGAAAAGAATTGTAATAGTGAGCTGAGATTCTTAAATTAACAGAACAGAGACGGAAAGAAAAATCGTTGATTAAACAAAATCCTCAGACAACAGGAGATCTTCCTTTATAATATTGTGTCACCTGAGATTAAACTACAAATCTCCCTTCTTTCATACTAATTGATGAAAACTTTATTAAAATGTTTTTGCACCCCACAGTAATTATAGAAGAAGGAAAACGCTCTTGTTTAACAGTTTGCATAGTATTTAAACACAGAAGGTCTGGATTTAGGCAGATCTGAGTTTAAATATCAGATCAAGCTCTGTGAAATAAGGAAATTTCAACAAAAATGTCGGTAGCAAAGGTTAACCATCCATGAAATGGTACTAATATTTGCACCTAACACAAGGGTGTTTGCAAATTTTGGTCAAGATCTTTCATGTAATACACTTGCCATAGATTTGGCAAACTAAAATTCTCTAAAAACACTAGCTACTATTGTAAATATATCACCTTCTAGAACTAGTGGGTACCCATTTAAAACAATCAGACATAATGCTAGTGTCACAATGAATGTAAAATGAGTTAATATATGTAATATCACCCATGTTGATATTTATGCATATAAGGAATTTAGCCTGGGCCAGGTGTGGTTGCTCACACCTGTAGTCCAAGCAGTCTGGGAAGCTGAAGTGAGTGGATCGCTTGAGCCCAGCAGTTCAAGACAAGTTTGGGCAACATCGCAAAACCCCATCTCTACAAAAAAAAGCAAAAATCAGCTGAGCATGGTGGCATAGGCCTGTAGTCCCAGCTACTGAGATTGGTTGGCTGAGGTGGGAGGATCACCTGAGTCTGGGAGAGGGAGGTTGCAGCGTGCCAAGATTGGACCACTGCATTTCAGCCTGAGTGACAGAGAGAAACTCTGTCTCAAGAAAAAAAAAAAATTAGCCTGACATTAAATGGTGGTTTCTTCATACAAAGACTGATACTTATTATTAATATGATTTTTTGTATAAATGTATGAAGTACATGAGAAATGTTGTTACATGTACATAATGCATGGTGATGAAGTCAGGGTATTTAATATGATTATTTATTACCAGGCATTAGAAATAGTCTACTACATGCTGGGTATACACATATTTCAATTAGAATCTCAACAATATATCCTCAAATGTCTTGTTAACAAATTATTAAAGAAGAAACTGATGTAAAGATAGGCACAATATCTTTTTCAAAGTTGCACAATTAGTTGCTGAAAGAATTATAATTTTTACTCTAGTTTTTGGGACAAACATACTATTCTTCTTTGAACCAATTATGACTATGTCATTCATAAATTTAGGAATGTGGCATGTGCTATCTAGGGAATAAATATCATTAGGAGGAGTTGTGAAAAGTCGTGTTGGAAAATTTACAAAGTGGTTACACTCAAGATGGCTAATTAGAAGGAGCTGGTGTTCTCTGCTCACAGGAGAGAAGAGTGGCAAGTAAACACCAGCTCTCCAACTGGGTATCCAGGTGGACACATTGGGATTCATCAAAGAAGCAATGTGACCCACAGAGAACAGAGAAGAGCAAGACAGGACAGCTGACCAACCCACCCAGGAATGGCACAGAGCCAGTGGAGGCCCTCCATTATGGAAAAATGGTGAGTGATTGAGACTCCATGGGTACCCACACTTCTGTTGTGGACTTTGCAACCCTGGACTCAGAAGATCCCCAGTGTCCTCCTTCCACCAGGGCCTCCAGACTGACAGAGAGCTATATGAAGTCTGAGCAGAGCCGTCACTCAGGCAAACACAGAGTCCCAGGAACCTTGGATCCCCAGGTATCCCCAGTCCCAGAGGCTGCAGCTCCAGCTATGGCTTCCTCATATGACTCCAAGATGGAGGTGGAATCCACAGGGCTGAGCAATGGACAGATGGCAAGCCTCACCTCCACTGCATCTCACCAGATAAGGTCCACTGGCCTGGGACCCTGTGCAGCTAGCTACCCCAACCCCACCTGAGGTCTCAGGCTGGTAGCAGCTCTGCCCTTCTGTGAGATGGAGCTCCCAGAGGTAGCAGGCGGGCCGCTATTTTTGCTGCCCTAAAGCCCTTGCTCCTCTTGCCCTCAGACTTGGGATGGAGTGCAGTGATTAGGAACTAACAGGGACCCACAGCTGCCTTCAGGAAAAGTGGCCAGACTGTCTTCCACGCAGGTCCCCACCCCCACCACTCCTCTCTGGGCATGGCCTCTCCATCTGGGCCCCTAGCACAACCACTCTGCCCCTGCCCGAACACCTCAGTTGGTAGTAGCTCCACATTTCATTGAGGAGGAAATCCCAGAGACAACCCATAGCCCTTCTGACATTGTAGCTGCTGTGGTACTGCCATTACTGCCCTTGGGCTGGGGAAGGAACAAAGCATGGTTGCTATGCTGGCACCTCCAGCATGCTTCAACCACCATGCGGAAGAGCCCAGTATCTCTTGCATTTGAGCTCTCAACCTCTAGCTCTTCACCAAGCAAGACCCTCAGCTCAGGCCAGCATCTCAGCAACCCCACCCCATGGCTGAACATTCCCATTAGCCAAGGCTCTGTGTTTCTTTAAGATGCAGTTCCCAGAGGCAACTGAGAGCCCCTCTGCCACTGCTTACCCTTGCTGCCCTTGTACTGGGAAAGAAACAAACACCCTGAGTGCTTTAGTCACACCTCCAGCAA